GCCCGCAGCACGGGCTGAGCACCACCCTGGGAAGCGGTTTGGTGCACGGATCAACTTTTGGCTGCCGCTGACTCGCCGTTACCATCCCCACGGGCAGAAGCGGCGTGTGCCTCACTGCGGGAGAGAAGCTGAGGGGCTGCCAGCGCCAAGAGCTGGGGGAGATTCACATCCACACGGGCCCCGCAGCTGGGGGGATGCAAACCGCTTCACGAGTTTCGGCTGCCTCCTCTCAGGGACAGACACGGGGCAGCTGCATCACCACGGGCACAGTGGGCATGAGCAGGGCAGTGGCATTAAGAAGGATTAAGCCAAACAGGGAACTTGGGTCCCGTGTCACCCCAACTCTGGTGCAGGCGCCGGTTACTCTCGCGGTCTGACCGGGTTACTCCGGCACGAAGAGGACGCGGAGGGGAGTGACCCCGGCCCTCCCAGAGCCACATCCCTGCCAGCCTTAGAGCCTTGGGAAGGGAGGAGCAGGGAGACGGGGAAGTTCTGAGGTGCACCTCGTAAGAACCCAACTTGCTCCCGCGCCCCAGGGCGGCTTCTCTCCCATGAGGAGCAGAGATTCCCCGCACCGTCCGCCTTCCCCATCCCGGCCGTTCGCTCCGGCTCGGCCGGGCCGGTGACAGAGCACGTGTGAGGTGCGACAGTGCCCGGGGCCGACGGTGCTCCCCGAACCTTGTGTCGCCGACGTGAGCTCGGCTCAGCCCCACATTCCCACCGCGGCCGCCCCGCTCGCACAAACCGCGGAGCAGACGCTGGTTTTCCCCGAGCGGGAGCCTCGGCGTAAATCAATCCCCGGGCGAGGAGGCGGCTGCCGGCAGCGCCGAGCCAAGGCACACCCCTCCATTGCAACACAGCCCTAAAGATAGCCCTAAAGATTGTCGCTGTCCCCCGGCCACCCCGCCGGCCGCTTGGACCCCGCCGGGCACCGGGGAAGGCAAACGCCACCGGCACAGCACATGGCAGCGACCTGCCATCGGGTTCAAACCAGGTTTACACCAGCCCCTCGTCCCACCCACCAACCATAGCTGCCAGGAGGGAGAAATTCGGGAAGGGAAAGAGGGATTGCAGGAACCGCCGGGGACGCCGCACACGCCTCTGGGTTGTAACATCAGCGCAAAATGTCCCCGTCGAGGAGGGGACGTGGCGACATCACCCTCCCCCCCATCCCCCCGCACCCGGACCGCACAGGAGTCGATGGGAAGATTTTAGCACTGCCCGGGTGAGCCAGGACAGGGACCGACGGCAGGAGAAGCCCCCGGGACAGGGATGGACAGCAGGAGCAGGGCCCTGGCACCCCCACGTCGGCTTTGGGAACCGTCTCGGTGGGCACAGACGGGTCTGGGGGAGAGGGGACAGAGCTCTCTCGAAGCTCAGGTGGAGCTGCTGCACCCCGGGCACAGTCCCAGCAGCACCAAACCAGGACCAAGAGCTGGACCCGGGTGCCAGAGCAGGAGCTGCCACCTCCCAGGGCGGGACATGGGGGGGGCGGGGGGCACCTCACTCCCCAGGTCTGCACCCACCTGTCCCCCCCACTGCTCCGGTGGGAACAACACCACGGGGGGAAACCCCCTGGTCCTGGGGTTGGCACCCACTGTGGGACAGGGCCCCAGTTGCCTCCTGAGCGTGAGCCCACTGTGGGCCCCGCTGCTGCCCCCCCCAGCTCTGCCACCCCACATCCTCCCCATCAGCCCCACTCAGAGTCCCTGGGACAGCCCCAGTGCACCCCATTCCCCCCACACCCAGCCTGACCCCATTGGGGACCCCCCTACCCCACTTCCCTCCTGCCCCGTACGTTTCCTGACAGCACTGCAGGTGCCTCCGCGGCCTCCCCCAGCCCCTGGACACGCCTAATTTCCCCACAACCCCCCCGCCCCACACCTCACTCACTGCGGGTCCCCCACACCCAGCCTGACCCCCCCCAAAACTCTGAGCACCCTAAAGCACCTCATACCCAGCTTGACCTCTACGGGTGCCCCTGGCTGCCCCAGCCCCAGGTCACCACCCCACACCCAGCCTGACCCCACTGCGGACCCCCCACCCCACAGCACCTTGTGTCCCGCTGCAAGCCCCCAACCCCACAACCAGCCCCCCTATGTGCCCCAAGACCACCCCAAGTCCTCCTATGACGCCGCACCCCACGACCAGACTGACGTACCACGGGCTCCTCCAGGGACCCCCAAATCCCCCGTAACCAGCCTGACCCCTGTACCCCCCTCCCAGAGCTCCCCAGGACCCCCACACCCCCCGCACCCCAAAACTTGCTTGACCCCTACAGCCCCCCCAGACCCGCCTATATCCCTCCAGCACCCCACAACCGTCCTGATCCCCCCCAGGGACCCCCAAATCCCCCCATGTCCCCCCGTCCCCTCCCCACTCACCGGGGCCGCTCCGCGCTGCCTCCACCTGCACCGCCGGCCCCGCCCCCTCTGACGTCACCGCGCCGGCCCCGCCCCACCGCGCGGGCGGCCTCGCCCATTGGCTGCCGTCGCCGCCCGTCAAGCGCGCGCCGGGGAGGGGCGTGGCCGCCCGCGCGCCGCTGCAGTAGGCGGGGCCCGCAGGTGAAGGGGCGTGGCCAGGGATCCCCCCCTCCCAGCGCCCCCCGTGACGTCACCGGCCCATATAAGGAGAAGGAGCCCCCGCGGGGATCCCCACGGGCCGCGGGGGGACCCCGGGCTGGGCCGGGAGAGCCCCAATAGCCCCCCCCAAATAAAAAAAAAGGATCGATGCCTTGGGGGATTTTTTTTTTTTTGCTCGTTTTCACCCACTTTCTTAACTTTTCTCAGGGAAACCCCTTCCCCGCGGGGGCCGGGCCAGCAGGGGGTTCCCCGTCCTGCGCCCACCCCGAGCGGCTGCGGCGTGGCCGGCGCTGATAAAGGGCTTCGGGGTCCCTGAGGTGCCCCAAACCCAGCCCCATCCCCGGGGCCACACCCGGGCTATCGGGGCCGCGCAGGCGGCGACTGCGGAGATAAAGGGGGACAGCGGCTCCTGCGGGACCAGGACAGCCATGGAGGGGGCGGCGGGTTAGAATGCGGTCCCGGTCCCGGCCCGCTCTGCTGTCCTGGCCCTGCGGTGGCACTGCATGCCGGGGTTGGGCTGGAGCGGGTGGGTGCTGCCCCAGGGTCACCCCCAGTCCCCCCAGGGCCAGCCAAGGCCCTGCGCCCCATCGCACCTTGCCCCAGGTCAGAGTGTCCCCCTGGGGACGGTCCCTGGTGCCACCTAATGGCCACCGCCCTGGGGACACCGGCAGCGACTGTCGCCGTGTGTCCGTCACCGCGTGTCCCCCCCTCTGCCTCCACAAGGGCCTTGCCAGCCCCCAGAGAGCCACGGGATGGATCCTGCCCCGGGCTCGGAGCCTCAAAAACCCGCAGCTCAAGTGCAATGAGGGCTCGTCCCCCCATCCCCTGCCCCTCCCTGGGAGCCCTAAGCCTTCCCCGGGGAGGAGGAAGATTTGGGGGGAGGAAGAGCCTCTCACCCCCGCCCCGGTGGGAGGGGAGGGAGCCCCTGGCTAATGTGATGAGAGGGGGATGAATCCATAAGCTGTTAAGCCGCTGCAAAGCCCCTCGCGTTCTGGCCCCGCTATCGCCGACTTCTGCTCACATCTGCTCCCGGGGTTATTTTTAATCGGGTATTAAGGACTTCTGGGTCCTTCAGCAGGCAGAGCAGGGGCTCTGCTTGTCCCCCCCCCCCAAGCAGGAGCTGTGATTTGCGGGGCCTCTGAAGCACCAACACCAGCCCCGCTGCTATTTGGGTGGGGGAAAAGGGACCTTCTGGGATCCCCATCCCCTCCACACCCAGCCATCAGCTCTGCAGAGGGTCCCAGCACTGGTCCCTGCAGGCTGGGAGCACTGGGGAAAGGCTGGAGGGGGAACCAGGCAGTAGCCTCACACGGGATATAAAAGATAAATATATAAACAAACAAATAAATGTATAAAATATATAAAAAATAAAGAGATATTTATTAGCGTTGAGTAAAGTGCAACCTCAGCGTGGTTGGAGGCTCAGCAGCTGAGGGAACGGCAGGAGAGAAGCTCAGAGAGAGGGAATGGCACGAGCAGGGCTGTGCCAATGGGATACAGGAACTGTACAAGGGCCTTAAAAACAGATAAACAACACCAGATAAATTATTTACAGTTCAAATCGATTCAGGAGGCTGAAGGCTCAGGACCTGCTGCAGACAGGGAGAGCAAGAAGAGGGAGTGGGATGGGACACAGGCCCTGAGCTGGTGTGTCAGGGGAGTTTGGGGGTTCGGGGCAGCAGTTGGGGGCAGCTGGGACTGTCCCCTGGCATCAGGCTCTGCTCTGGGGGGAGATGTAGTGGGGTGAAGCCTTGGGCCTGCTGCTTCTGCTGGAACAGGAATTCATTGGGATTTGCACACGGGATGTGATGAACAGGATCGGGCCCTGTGCCTGGATGTCTCTGCTAAAGATCAGCAGAGGTTTTCACACAAGAGCTCAGCAGTTCCATGGAGCTGTGGAGCTGCAGGGGCTGCACTGCTGCTGGACACACCACCAGCACCTTCCTGGGCTGGTGTCCTCTCCTGGAGCTATGGGCTGGCAGCAGGATGTCTTTAATGGCAGAGACTCTGTCAGGGCTGTGACAAGGTGGGAATCCTACTGGAGACCTCAGTGCCAATAGCTCTCTGTGTCACTGTCTAAGTAACTCCAGAGGGGATTTGCTCCATTTACAAATACAACATTTTTTCTTGCCAGTGCCTTAAACTCCCCAGGGAGGCCTGAGCTGAACAGTGCTCCTCCTACTCACAAACATCCATAGCTAAGACTCTGGAGCCAAAACACAGCTTCAGCCCCTCTGTGGATGTGTGAGCTGGTGGGGTCCAGCCTCTCTCCCACCCCAGAGCCATTTCTGAAGAGATCAGGAAGAAATTCCTCCCTGTGAGGGTGGGAAGGCCCTGGCACAGGCTGCCCAGAGAAGCTGTGGCTGCCCCTGGACCCCTGGAAGTGTCCAAGGCCAGGTTGGATGGGGCTTGGAGCAACCTGGGCTGGTGGAAGGTGTCCCTGCCCATGGCAGAGGGTTAGAACAAGATGAGCATTAAGGTCCCTCCCAACCCAAACCATTCTATGGTTCTGTGAAATGCTCATCAAGGCACTAAAAGCTGCCCAGAGCAGCACCCACAGGGGACAGGTTTTGGTCTGGCAGCCTGGCCCACGCCCAGTTCATGCTGGAGGAGCTCCTGGGATCTGAATCAGGAGCTGTACCCACTGTGCTCTGGGCTGGAGACAGGCTGGAGCCACGTGGCTTTGATCCACTCTCCCCTCTGGCCAGTGGGAACAGGGATCAAGTTTGCAGCTCGAGCCTGTGTCTGGTTCCTTCGCTGAGCTCTGCGGCACCGTGGGTGGGGGTCAGAGGGCTGGAGCAGCTGGGGCTGTTCCCCCCCAGCCCTCAGCTCACTGGGACCACTGGTGTGAACAGTGCTGCTCTGGAGAGCATAGCCCCTCACAGAGGGGCAGAGGCTGCATTGTCCTGCGACACAGTCACCAAAGCCCCTCAGATCCCTCCCGACACCTCGGATCCGGCCCGGGGAGGGCTATTGCCGCTCGCTCCTGACGTGGTCCCCGATCATCCGCCTGTGGTAGGTGGCCAGGAAGATGTCGTTGTCCCGGGGGCAGTCATAGTGGCAGGAGCACACCTTGATGAACATCATCTTCCTGTGGAAGGAGTCCCCCTCGGGGCAGTGGAACTCCACGTCTGCGGTGCTGGTCAGGTCGGGGGTGCAGCACCGCCCGTCCGAGCAGCTCCCGCAGAACCGCGGCCGGTACGAGCGGGTGCTGGTGCACCCCGAGAACTCAAAGTGGAGGCTCTGGCGTGGCCTTGGGGTCCTCACACACTTCTTCCCTTTCTGGGGAGAGAGTGGATGGATTAACACAGACAGGAAAGACGCACTGAGGCCTCTGCTCCATCCCTGTCACTGCACAATGGGGCACAGAGACAGCGGAACCACAGAGCAAAGTCCCTGAGCCAGCACCATTCCCAAGGCCTCCCCTGGCATTTGGGGAGCTGCATCCCTCTCTCCCCAAGCCCCTACCTTGGTTTTCTCCATGGGGAAGTCGCAGGGCCGGACCATGCAGAGCCGGGTCTCCTTCTCCAGGCGGCACTGGGGGTTGTCGTTGGTGACGCGGGTGGAGATGCCCATCCCGCAGCTCCGGGAGCACGCGCTCCACGCCGTGGTCTGCACCAGGCAGTTCTCCTGCAGGTTGTTCAGCTCAGGCTTCTGGGCTGGGTCCTCCCTGAACACTGAGCCGTGGGAAAGAGACACAAGGTGAGGCTCAGGGCTCGGGACAAAGCGTGGCAGCTCCACGGCTGCTCCCAATCTGGGCTAACGCTGCAAGAACAGCAGCAAAGGTCTGGCCCATCCCGTGAGCTGCTCGGCCTCTCAGCAGGGGGAGGGTGCAGGGAAGCATTTCCTGCCACAGCACAGCTCCAGCCAGCTCTGCTGTGACACCACAGGGTCTACACAACACCACTGAGCTCTTCCATCAACGACTCTGGTACCCACATGCCAGTGTACAAAACCACGACCAGTTCCAAACCAGTCAATGACCCAATGCACAGGTAGTTTGGATCCTCTCCTATTCCCCAGCAAACAGCTCTTGGCCCCATCCAGGAGCCCCAATCCACAGGTAGTTTGGATCCACCCTAATTCCCTAGCAAACAGGATCCTTATTCCCTGGCAAATAGGATCCTCTCCTATTCCCCAGCAAACAGCTCTTGGCCCCATCCATGAGCCCATATCCATAGGTAGTTTGGATCCACCCTTATTCCGTAGCAAACAGCTCCTGGCTCCATCCTATGTGCCCCAATTCAGAGGTACTTTGGATCCACTTCTCTTCCCCAGGAAACAGCTCCCAGCTCTGTCTCACATACCCCAATCCATAAGTAGTTTGGATCCATCTCTCTTCCCCAACAAACAGCTCCTGGCCCCACCCCACCCACCACAATTCCACAGGTAGCTTGGATCCCACGTACCCCAATCCACAGGTGGTCTGGATCCACTTCTCTTCGCCAGGAAACAGCTCCTGGCCCCATTCCCAGTGCCCCGGTCCACCGGTAGTTTGGATCCAACCCCTATTCCCCAGCCAACAACCCCTGTTCCCATCCCACCCGCCCCACTCACCCGCCATGGCCGTGCCCAGGTCGTTGTCGCTGCCCTCCTCACACACCCACTCCTCACAGCACTTGTTGTGGACCCTGACCCTGCGGGGGTGGGGGCAGTCGGGGGACGGCAGGCGCAGGTCGTCGGAGCAGAGCGGGATGCAGCCGACGGCGCCGTCCAGGCAGATGCACTGCAGTTTGCACGTGGGCTGGAAGCTCTCCCCGTTCAGGTAGATCTTGCCCAGCAGGTCACACGTTGCACCCTCATGAGCTGCGGGAGGAGGAGGAGGAAGAGCAGAGCTGAAGTTCTGCCTCAGGAGGACCTGGGGCTGCCGAGGAGGGACAGAGCCCACCCCACCCTGCTCTGCCATCTCGGTGCTGGACTGTGCAATATTTGCCTCTCTGGATTCAAGGCTGCTCCTGGCATCGATTTTTTGGAACCGCCAACCCTCCCAAAGCTCTCTAGAAAAATTTCTCCTCCATTTGGGTGAGTTACCAAGTGTGACACTGTCTTTGCAGCCCATTCCCCAGTCAGTGCCCAGTCAGTGGTGTCACATCCCTGACACGGCACATGAGCAGCAACTTTGCTCCTCAATACTCCTGGCAGACCAAAAGGCAACATTCTCCCAAGAGCAGCTGGTTCCCACATGGCTGATGGCACCTACAAAGGAAATGACACTTTGGGCTGGTGACCTTTCTGGCCCCTCTGTGATGCAAAAATCTCTTCTTCCTTCCAGCTCCAATTTTTTCTAGTTCTCTCTCTTCTGATCTCCGTGTCTCTCATCTCCAGCCCTCCTACCAGTCTTTCCCTCCCTCCTAATAAAACTTGGGCATAAAAGGAAACACAACAATATCTGACACAGAACAGCAAAACCTTCACTCTGCTCCCCAGCTCTCATATCTGGCTTAGCCAAAAACTTTCCCAGTGGAAGTTTTCCAGCAGAAATCTCTCAATCCTGATTGAGATCAGGAATGGTTTCAATAGGAATCAACTGAAGCATTTCATTTTGATATCAAAGATTTCCTTTGTGTTCAACCAAAATACTTGTGGGACAGTGTCCATAGGGGGAAGTGTTTTGCTCTGCTGATTATTTTAGGCACTATAAAAGATCAAGATGAAATATTTTGATAAAATGGAAGCAGAAAGTTTTGACACAGCCAAATGAGTATTCTAAATAAATAATGAAAAAAAAAATTGAGGGTTTTTTTAACTATATAGATATTTAGATGTATTTTTTATATTTTTTTTTCTATCAGCCTGAAATGAAATGTTGAAATCTCAGAGTTGTTCACGGGACAGAAATCCTGATTTTGGACAGTTCTCAGCAGCTGCTGCTTCCTGCAAAAAACCCATGCAAACCTCTATTGGGAAGTTACCAAAATGAAGGATTCTTGGCTGCTTGTGGAGGCTTCCCAGGAAACCTGCTCTATTTTGTCCTTAGTCCTGCTCACCCAGGGGACACTGTGTCAGACACAAAGTGGTTGGACTAAACAAGGAGTGAGAGCCTCTTTCCATCCCATCCCTTGAGGGGACACAAATCCTTCCGGACTGTTCCAAACCAGAGCTGGATCTTGACTTGCAACTCTTTTCAATGCCACTGGGATAAAAATACTCCTGTGCTCCAACTCAGAAGCTTCAAAGTCCTCACTTTTTCCACCAAAGTGGAAGCCATCCATCCACCCTCCCTCCACACAACCATTCAGACTTATTTTTAAACCCTCTCTCCCTGTTTTTCAGCCCGAGTGCTCTCCCGTCCCGCTGAACGGATCGTGCTGTTCCCTCTCCTCCCTCCCCACCCGAGGAATGGCAGCTCACTCCAGGGGTTGATTATGTTTTCCAAACTCAGTGCCCTTCATTACCCTCCCTGACCTCCCTTTCCCAATGACCTGATCCAATTAAGGCACCGAAAGGACAGCGCCCGCAGAGAGAGGTGGTTCTTTATTCCCTGGCAGTGCCGACCCCAAACACCAACTCCAGCCAAGGAGACTTTTGCCCTTTTCCACAGGGAGTATGTCAGGGCTCAAGGAGCCTCTCCAGCTCCTCTGCCAGGAGAGGAGCCCACCCAGGCCACTCTACCACCGGTAGGAACCCTACTCTAGGGTTACTACAGGATTGTCTCTACCTTTCTGATACTCCAAGGTCTCTGCAGGAAGAGAAGGATTCCTCTGCAATGTGTGGAATGCGATAACATTAAGCAAATACACAATAATTTTCTTTCTGAGGGTTCCCTTCCCATCTCTGCTGATATGGCCCTCGGGCTGGTCCCAGCTCAGATGCCTTTCCCGTGACACTGGAACACCTCAGCTCCTTTCTACTCCCAGAACATCTGTCTTTCTTGGACAAATGGAAGTCACATTGATCCTTCCCCTTCTCTGATTCACCACTCCACCTTCCTTCCCTGCCTCCCCCCTCTTCCAACAGATCCATGTGGACGCCACAAAAACATCACCCAAGGACCTTACGGCTCAAATCCTCAGTTCATTTCAGGGAGATATCCTGCTCTGGGTTCACTGGGAGTTTTGCCATGAAAAGCTTAATTTCTCACTTAAAAGCAGGGAGGATAGTTGTGTCAACAAGTCTGATTTCCTCCCCAGCACGAATTTGGGACTCTTACTCCAAAATGTTCGGATCAAACCTGTTATGTCACGGTGAACACAAAGCACCTTTATCAGAAGGATGTCCAGGCTTTGTGGGGAGACTTGAGAGGAAATCATTCCCGTGATTTCACTACCTTTCCTCCACAAACCCATCCCTCATTCCCAGTGGGAATGATGCAGCCTGCAGCTCACGCTTGCTGGGTGTTATCACACCTACGTTCACCTTATTGAACTTCAGTCCTCAGCTCTCAGGTGTCAATGCCTACAGAAAGTACCAGGAGCTCCCATGGCTCCTAAAGATCCCTAAAAACTGAGTGAGGGAAATGAAACAACTTATATAAACCTTTCAAAATAAAATAAAATAAAAAACAAAAACCAGCTTCTACAAGTTAGATTCGTTTGGACAAGGGCCTGAAGCTCCTGGCAGAGATGTGGCAGAGGAGTCTTGTTTTCAAGCAAACAGGAGATTGAGGAAATACTTGCTTTTTTTTTTTCCTCTTGACCAAAGTCTTTTTTGCCTGTTTTAAAAAGAACCACCAAATAAAAACATAAAATCAAAAATTTTTTTCTTTTCTGGCTGAAAAGAGGCAGGAGGAGAGAAAAGAGTTTCTTGCCTTTGTGTTTACCTGGCTCAGGAATTCTCATGTCCCACACAGACACAACGTAGTGAAGGAGCTGTTCAGCTCTTCCCACCCACACATTCCAGCCAGAAACACACTTTGGGAGCAGCCAAGTGCAGAACACCCATATCCAGTGCAAGGCAGGGGGATTTGGGGTGGGATTTTCCAGGAAAAAGTCCTTTCAGTAAGAGCCCAGGTTGCTGATATTCACCCACAGGGATAGAGGATGTGTCCTAAGGGTGTCCCAGGACACAGGAGGGATCCATAGCCCCACTCACACCTTTGGAGCTGAGGGAAGGAGCTGTGTGTGTGTCAGTGGATTTGTTGGCTCCCAGGGAATTCTGCTGGGTGTTCTGGGAGGTGCCACGGAAAACCACCCAAGAACAGAACATGCAGGTCTCACCTAAGCAGATCCCGCTGCCTCTGTGGGTTTTGGAGAAGTCGCAGTAGAGTCCCTTGTGGTGGTCACAGGGCCTGTGCAGGGAGCAGAGCTCTCCCAGCTGCCTGGCACACACCTTGCAGCAGCCACAGGCATCCAACACGTGGCTGGTGCCAGCAGGGCACTGTAGAGGCTGGGAGGGACACTGGCACGGGAAGGTGCAGGCCTGTGCTTCTCCCTGGAGGGCAAAAACCCACAGAGAGGATGAGTCCGGGCAGGGAAAGGGAAAACACGGCTCTGCCACAAGCACAGACACCCCAGAGAGAGAAGGGAGAGCCCAGGGACTCACAGGACTTTTCTCATCCCTCATTCCTCTGGAGCTCAAGGGGAAAAAGGATGCCTCTGGGAAGCAAAGCCAAAACAAACAGGACAAGCAGTAGCTCGGGGTCCCCTGCACAGCTCACCCTCTGCCTCCCTGGAAGCAATAAAGTGGTAATTATTAACAGCAAGCAATTCCAGCTCTTACACAGGACAAACATCAAAGCCTCTGCAGCAGCAGCAGAATCAGACCCAGCTGGAGCTGGAAAAGGACGTGCACAGGCACAGAACTTGCCCAAAGTCAGGCAGCGGGATTGGAGCAGTACTAAAAACTGACCCAAAGGCTCCCATTTTGTCCCCTGGATCTCACACTTCCTTTGTTATTCCCAGAGATGTGCCCTCTCCTCTCCCCTTTCCAAGGAACACAGCATAACCAGCCTTCCTTGGGACTTTGGGACTCCAGAGCTGCCCCCATTGGCAGCATTTCACTGGCCACCCCTTGAAACCCACCCGTGGATTTATACCCCTCCAGACACTAAACAGAGACCAGGCTATGGCTGAAGGGGGGTTTCCTGCTCTAAAAAACCCAGGATGTGTCCAACACCCCAATCACTGAGTCTGTGCCACCTTTGTCCTGCATCTGCCTGGAGCAGCTACAGCAGCTCAGCTCTGGATGTGCCTAAATTTGGGAGAGGTGACACCCTGAAGTCACACCTGAAGATCCTCTAAAATGTCCTCAGTGCCAGCTCCAGCCTGGTTTTCTGTTCCTACCCACTGGAGTCCTCCCTTGCCCTGCTCCATCACCACTCCAACCTGCTCAGGCACTGCTGGACATGGCTCAGCTCCCACCCGGGGCTGACACGACCTTTGCACGTGGATAATTCCACCAAAACATTCTGGGATCCTGTCCTGCTGTGATCTGGGTGGAGAGGGAAGCACCCAATTGGACAAACCCCTCACAGCTCCACTGGCAACCTGGGAGAGGGGCAGGGACAGAGGTCAGAGAATAAATCTTTCTTTTTTTACAGCTCTGTTTGGACTTGCCACATCCCACCCAGCCCTCCCTTGGGAAACAGCTTCCTTGGATATTGTGTTTGTCACTGACAACAGCAGGAAAACTTTTCCAGCTGTTTTGACTGTTGCTCTGACTTGATCTCATGTGGGGTAGGAAGGTGCCAACTGCTTTCTACGGCTGGAACACCCAGCACAGCCCAGGGCAGGACTGGGAGGGGGCTAAACCTTCCCTCAGAGTCATTATAGAATCATAGAATATGCTGAGCTGGAAGGGACCCACAAGAATCATCCAGTCCAACCCCTGGCCCTGCACAGACACCCCAACAATCCCACCCTGTCCCTCACAGCGTTGTCCAAACCCTCCTGGAGCTCTGGCAGCCTTGGGGCTGTGCCCACTGCCCTGGGGAGCCTGGGCAGTGCCCAACCAGCCTCTGGGGGAAGAACCTTTTGCTGAAATCCAATCCAAACCTCCTCAGACACAAATCTAGCCGTTCCCTAGGGTGCTCCCAAGGGCTGAGTCCTCCCAGAATCTCCCTGCTCAGCAGGAATCAGCCTAATTCTCCTGGATCCCTCCTAGCACAGAGTATTTTGGAGCCAAGCCCCTCCTGCTGCAGCCCAGCTGTTCCCAGCCGGCAGTGCTGGAGCAGCTCGCCAGGAGCTGGCACGTCACAGGGATCAATTCCCAACCACTGAAGTGCATTAAAAGAACTAAAAATACAGAAATCTTCCCTACTGTTTTTCGTGTAGGCAACTGCTGGAGCTGCCAAGGGATGTGTTATCCAGCCCCGGGTGAGTGGGTGGGGGGTACGTGAGCTCACACAAGAGGCAGAGCACTCCTGACACGGGATCTCTGTTGAGATGCAATCCATGCACTTCAGAAAAAATAATGGCAACAAGCATTTTCCAGTGCAGTGTCAGCCACAGGCCATAGAAAAAACACTCTCAAAATAGCTCTGCTGCTGAAATCCAAACCAAAACAACCTCTTGCGGGATGACAGAACACAGTGGAATTAAACTCATCCCTGGAAGTGTTCAAGGCCAGGTTGGACGGGGCTTGAAGCAACCTGGGATAGTGAAAGGTGTCCCTGCCCATGGCAGGGGGTTGGACAAGATGGTTTTTCAGTTCCCTTCCGGCCCAAACCGTTCCATGATTCTATGAGTTCTCTTCCTTGCTCTCATTAATCCTCGCTGGCTCTGGTGATTTCCTTGATAACTCACCCACACAAACCACCTCACCTGGTTTTACCTTCTGCTTTCAGAGCACAGCATCTGGATTCAGATCTCTGGCATGTCAGAGACCTGCTGGGTGACCCTGCACCCACCTCAACTGTGCCTCATTTCCCTCAGCTCAAACCCCCAGTTCATCCTGGTTTTCAGGGCTCTTTCCAACACTCCAAGACATTCCCACCAGTCAGCTCAGACGTGCCTCCCTCCATCACCCAGAGGGTGTGGGAGCTCCTGTTTGCTGGTTTTATCGCAGAGCAAAGTCAACCTGTGCTATTTATAACTCCTGCTGCTCTCCCAGGTCCAGGAGAGGAGGGAATGAGATGGAATTGGGTTTGGCTCACACCCCCCTGACATTGAGAACTGAAAAACTGCCTGACCAGGGGAACCTCTGGAGCTGGGAACAGCTGGGGCAAAGTCAATACTGAACCAACCTCCTGAGTCCTCTGTTACTCAGTTTTCCTTCAGATAGGCTAAACAGTGGATTGTATTGGATTTGCAAGGAGCACCTTCCACCTGCATTCTTTCCAAGGACTGCTTCTAGGAGTTGTTTCAACACAGTGTGGAAACTGCCCCAAGACTGCCCCAAAGAACTCCCCAGCCTGTCCCCAGGAACTGCCAGGACTGGAATCAGGGGCTTTGCTGCAGACCCAAATGTAACACAAAGCCCAGCATTTCCACATAAACTGCCACTGACCTGGGTCCAGAGGGATTCAACTCAGGGAACATTTCACTTTCTTCCCTCTGCAGAAGGGGCTGCCCCAAAACTCACTTTCACTGAGCAGGATCCTGATTTCAGGGTCACTACAGCCTTGCCCTTGTTGCTGCTGAGGTTGGCAGAGCACTTCTGTGAACTCTGAGAGCAGCAGAACACAACCAGTCTCAGGGATCAAGGCTGTGGAGTCAGGGAGGTTCTAAAGCCTGGAATATCAGCTCTCCCTGCTCCTGGCTTTGCTGGCAGCTCTTGCATCCATCACAAACACTGTGTGAGAAGCTGTGGGACTCCCAGGACTCCTGAGTGATGGCCAAGGCACTGTGGGAGTGCCAACACTTGGATAGAAGATTCCCCTGCCTCTGCTCCGTCATGTTCTCCACCTCTTACTCCCAGGTCCCATCCCAGCTGACAAGCCAGAACAAGCTCCCTCCCAACTGCCAGCACTAAACCCAGCTACCTGGGGGTAAGAAAGAGTGAGAACCTTCTTCCTGCTTCATATTCACATAAAACCTCTTCCTCACCTTAGGAGGGCACAAGTTGGGGGACATGAGATCTCACCAGGTCTGTGGCACCCTCGGGATTTCTCATTCCTGATCAAGGTTCATGGGAGCCCAGGGAACCAGCTCAGGGAGCCAAACCAAAGAGGACATTTAAAGTTTGTTTGGGCTCATCACTGCACTCGGAGGGCTGGGAAAGGAGAGTTCTGAACTGAGCCAGGGGTTAATGCTGCAAGGTAGAGGTGAGATAATAAACATCCAACTGGTTCTCCTTGTGCTCCAAGACCAGCAGTAGATAAAGCAGCCAAAACACAGCTATTCATCCTCCAAACACTGGACAGCTGTGGATAATCCCTGCTCTGCCTCTATCACAGGCTCTCAAGGCACCTTCCCGAGGCTGTTGCAGCACTTTTTACAACAACCTGTTAGGGGAGACAAGAACCAGTGATGCCATTCCCAGACAGTGGGGACACAGAGACCTGCCCAGGCTGAGCCTAAACCCAACTCCCAGAAATCCTGGAACTACTCTCACCTCTGAGCACCACCACAGGCAGATTCAGGAGTAAGAGCTCTCATTTCCTGCCTTGATCCACAAAAAATAAATAATTCACAGATTCATTTAGACTGGAAAAGACCTTTGTGGTCATTGAGTTCAACCTAATGCTCAGAGCTCAGAGGTAAAATTTTCATTTCTGAGGCAGGTTTAGGGAAAATGACACATCTCAGAGTGATGTTTGAGGGTCACAGCAGTGGGATTCACTGTTATTGTTTATATGACAAACATGAGGCTGCCAAAGCTGAGCTGGTGCTAGAACCAAGATGCCAACCTGAATGGCAGCAGTTACCCTCAGATCATATCCCAGGGCACATTCCTGGTAGGAGAGGGGCTGGCACACTCCAAGTGCTGCCAGGAGCATCCAACAGACCTCACCAACCAGGAGTTTATTGCCTCTCTCAGCACAACAAACCCTGCAAGTGCTTCTGTGAACCCGATTTCCTGATGTATCCAAAAGGCACTTCCAACAATTTAGAGCCATTAATGACTGCAGGGACCTTCCTGCCAGTCCTGGCACGGGAACAGCACACAAACATCCTAAGAGGAATCAGCTGCTCTGTCAAGCACTTGTGTTAACAGGAAAACAGGCACAAATCCTGCTCTGGAAACTCTGCAGTCTAATTTTCCCCTCAGGATCACTGGTTTGGGAAGCACATGGGTGGATTCAGTGGCAGCTGGGGAAGGATGGGGATGGTAAGGAACTGGGATATGAGACTGTTATTCCTTGCAGTGACATAAACTCAGTGACTGACTTTCCCTCTCTCTGTTCTCTTCTCCCCCTCGTAAACCAGGACTGGCCTTTGACTCCCAGGAAGGGGATGAAACAAAACCCATTCCCATGTGCCAGGAGCTCTGAGATCCGTGGATGACTGGCATTACACGGGGCAGCTCCAAGCCTGGTTTAATTACACAGCACGTTTGTGTCGCTCTGCTCCCAGCCCAGCTTCCCTGGGAAACTCGGGAGCAGGTGGGAAGGGTTTCCCAGCCCAAAGCCCTCTCATGCATCCAAGCAAGAAGCTGCAGAGCCCAGGCAGAGCTGTACGTACCCAGCCAGGGGCGAGGAGCAGCAGGAACAGGGTCCGGGTCGCTGTCCCCAAGTTTCCAGACATCCCGAGCACTGGGAAGGGATCCAGGCTGCCGACTGACTCCCACTCGTTCGGAGTTTCTCGTCTCTTTGGAGCAAGCTGCACATCAGCTTCTCCTTAAATATCCTCTGGAGGGGGCGGGCCCCGCGCTGAGCGACGGGCTGGAACCGAGCCCAGAGGGGTGCAACAAAAACTGCCCAAATTCCAGGGAACAGGAGCGGATTCCTGCGGCCCCCGCGGTTACGGGGCTGCCACTGCCGCCCGCAGCCTGGTTACCTGCCAGGCGGGTGAACCAAACCCCAGTAAGGGCAGGATTGCTGGGTTTTAATTTTTACCTCTTTCCAGCTCCCGGAGTAGGAATCCTGGCACAGCTTTGCTGCCAGAGCCCCCCTTTCCCTGCCTGCAGCCGCCCCTGTTTGGCTGCAGGAGCTGAGGGGTGAACAAGCAGAGCTTTGCGGTGCTCAGCGTTGGAGCGGGAGGGAGGGATGGGAAGTTTGGACCCGTCAGGTGTCACCTCTGTCCCTGCATCGCTTGTGCTTCCAGCTCCCAGAAATTAAAGTTTCATCACTGGAACTCCTGCTTGTAAAACTCCTGTGTGTTTTACAAGGCAACGAATAGCTCCAGGATGAAGAACTTTTGATTAAGGACGGCAGTTCCCTAAAGTGCTTTGTTTGTGCCTCGGGATTGATGCAGGATCTCACACATCTTTACTTTGGGGCAATATCCTTTCTATTTGCTGCTGAAATCCAGCACCAGGCTTCTGTACAGCCAGCACAACAGACCTTTGGAATATGAGAGAGTTGTTTGGTGTATTAAAGAGTCGTTTTGTTTATTCCCAAAGAGGAGGCGGAGCGCTGCCGTGGGAGGAGGAGGAGGAGGAGGAGGAGTGCAGCAGAGGGCACTCTTAGCCCTCGCTGGCCGGGGGTGGGACAGAGCAGCTCGGGTACTGGACAGAAGCCTCTGTGCTGCACATGGAGTGGCCTGAGAAAGATGGAGCTGTGCCTTAGTCTGGGAGCTTTCCCGGGGAGAAGTGGTGCAAGGTCTGGTACTTATTTGGGGCCAGGAGAAAGCAGGGGCTGGAGCTCAGGCACTGCCCCACAGAGCCCAGCACATCCCTGCTCAGTGCTGGGAAGCAGGGCAGAAAATGAGGGAGTGTAGTAGGTCATGAAATCATAGAATGACAGATCTCCTGAGCTGGAAGGGACCCACCAGGATCATCCACTCCAACTCCTGGCCCTGCACAGACACCCCAACAATCCCACCCTGTCTGTGAAAGCATTGTCCAAATGCTTCCTAAACTCAGACAGGCTTGGTACTGTGACCACTGGGGAGCCTGTTCCCAGTGCTCAGCCACCCTTTGGATGGAAAACCTTCTCCTGATATCCAGCTTAAACCTCCCCTGACTCAGCTTCGTGCCGTTAATTTAAATTGCTTTAACTCAATTTAAATTTTAATTCATGCCATCATTTACATTCAGCCTCCTTTCTGTCTGCCTCCAAGGGTAGGGCAGTTTAGCTGGGAATCAAGCCCTGAATTTCATCTGGGTCCTGTCAGGTCCCTGTGCAACAAGATCAGCCTCCACACTCCCCATGTGTCCAAACTGACAATTCCGACTCTTAACTAATTAGCACTTGGAAAGTCCCTTGGGATTCAGGGCTGGAGAGCATTAGTACAGTGCAAACCACCCCAGATGCACCTTCTTCTCCCCTTCTATAAGAGGGATTTCACAATCACTTCCGTAACAGCCACCTCTGCCCGTGTCCCAGCAGAGGATTATGTCTGCACACATTCATGTTCTGGAGGTGGCACAAACACCCAGTGCCCTCAGGCAGCTTGGAGCTCCGGGCATACATTCCTTCCCCTCTTGGAGGGCTTGGCACCCTAAACTATGTTGTCACCTAAAATTAGCTGCTCACATTTCCCAGGACATTCTCCCACTGCTCGTAAATAAGACAGGGATGAAGTGCTGCACACCTCCGTCCTCATCCTCTCACACTGCAGGAATATAAACCCCAGCTGAATCCTAAGCCCTCCTGGGCATCTGGAGATGACACATTTTTGGTTTTTTAGAAGGATCATCACTCTGTGTGATGTGTGGCTCAATCCATCCCTCCTTGTCCAAAAAAAAGACATTCCCCTTTCTCCAGTGATAGGACAAGGAGGAATGGCTTCAGCGGAAAGAGGGCAGGGTTAGATAGGATATTGGGAAGGAATTGTTCCCTGTGAGGGTGGGAAGGCCCTGGCACAGGTTGCCCAGAGAAGCTGTGGCTGCCCCTGGATCCCTGGAAGTGTCCAAGGCCAGGTTGGATGGAGCTTGGAGCCACCTGGGCTGGTGGAAGGTGTCCCTGCCCATGGCAGGGAGTGGAACTGGATGGGCTTTAAGTTCCCTTCACACCCAAACAATTCCATGATTCTATAAGAAGCAGCAGCTGCACTTTGAACCACGATCTTCCAAACTGTGCTTTAACACAAACCTGCTGTGTGACCTGGGATGAACTGTTCAATCACAGTCCTAAGGCTCACCCACCTGTCAGGAGTTTTGTTGGGAACATTCAGCACTAAGCTAGCATTTTGATGGCTGATTGGGTTTTCAACCTACAACAGAAGTAAAGAATAATTTGATTATAAAACATCCTTTCCAAGCTACTGATCATCATCCACCTGAATGCTTCCACCTTCCCAGAGCAGTAAAACACACTGAGTTCAGTCCCACTCATCCTTCAAGCCACCTTAGCTCTTGGAGTACAGGAGCAGTAGGATGTGAAGAGGAAGCATCAGCTGGAGATCCCTGGATTTTGGGAGCTCCCTACACCCAAGTTCCAAGATTTTCCTAGGGCACTGGGACGACCAAAACTACCCCTCATGTGAGGAGCTGTTCACCCCACTGGACACACCCAGAGGGAAAAGAACATGAAGTTGAGTACCTCAGAATGATCAAAGGCAGGAAACACCCAGGTCAGCACCGGTTTGTGTCTCCTCCTTTTGCCTGAGCTGCCTCAAGTGAAGGGATAAAGATGTCAACCCTGCTTAAAATCTCCCCCAAGCAAAGCATAGTGGGTGTTTAATTCACCTTGTTACGTTCTTCTGGGTTCACTCATCCTGCCCAACTGGCACGTTCCCTGGATTCACAGTAATTAAAATAGAAGACATTTAGATAATTGCTAAAAAATCATGTCAGGCCAAGGAATAAAATGAAGGCAAGCACACACACAGGTTTTTTTTGGCTCAGTGGGATTTCTCCCTGCCTGCAGAAGCCAAAACAAAAAGCTGGTACAAGCAGCATGGTACAGAGAATTGTGCTTTTCCAGTCCAGGAGATTGTCCTCACCCAATCTGCAGTGACTTCCAAGCTGTCCCCTGCCCCAGAGCTGCTCAGTCACCCCCAGGACATGCTGGTGGCCCTAAAATTCCTTCTGAGGGTTCCTCCCTGTGTATCAGCTGTGTCACCACGTCAGTGGCTGTCAACTGTCAGAGAAATGCAGCACCAGAGCTCAGCAAAGGCTCAGTTCTACACCCTGTCTAACTCCAGTCAGGGTGCAAAGGCTTCCCTGCTCTAGGGATGGAAAGGGCAGGAAAAATCACCCCTCCTCACTGCAGCACAGCCCTGGGATGAAATCCTGACTGCAGGGAAACACCCTCTGGCTCCAGCAGAGCTGGGATTCCCTCAGCATGCCAGATACCCAGCCCTGAGGCCACTCTGCTGTGCCCACAGGATGTCAGGGAGGGGACAAATTTTGTCCCTGGCTGCAGAGTTCACTTGTGAAATCCACAGTTATATTAGCTCTGGGAGGAACACCCTGCTGTATTTGAGGATTTATTGTGACATCGGAGTCTATCAAGGGATGTGACACTTGGGATGGGTGAGGTGGCTGCTGATGTCCTTGTAAAGGAAGTAAATATATAAAAACAGTCTTGGCATCACCAGTTTGGAAAGAGCCAGTGCTCAGACACAGAGCTGGCCAGGAAAAAGCAGACATTCTCCTCTAGGAAAAAAAAAATGCCCCCTTTGGAGCCTGGTCTTGGCAGGATGCAAAAATCCAGGTCTGCAGCAGCAGAGCATGCAGCCAAGGGCACCCAAGGAAAAGACACTGAACCCAGGGGATGCTCATTTCAGATCAGGTGAACAGTGACAAACAACATTTCCAAGGATATCCCTGCAACAAGGCTGTGGTGTAATAACAGCAGGTGACCTCCTGAGACCCTTAACTGCAAAATTTGGCTGTTCAGATGCAACTGTGAGTCACCATCATGGCCAGGAGCATTTGTGCCAAGGCACGGGCTTGCACAGAACTGCAGGAGAAACAGGCCCTGGGAGGAAACAGCTGCACCCACCTGTGAAATGGATGCTTCCTCGGGTTTTTCCACTTCTTAACTTACTGCATGCTTAATTATCCTGAAGGAAAACTGCAGGGAGGGAGGGCATGTTTAAGGTGGACTCGGGCAGGGTCATTTAAGGAGGCTGCCTGTGCCACAGGACTGCTCTGATGTCTGAGACCAGCACTCCATGTCTCCCGGAGTTTGGTCCTCACCACCTGCACAGAAGGATGTGCTCAAGGGAACAGGGCTTGGGAAAGAGAAGGGACTATAGCTAAGGGTGGGATATGGCATCACATTGCTAATTCTGCCTCCAAACACTGCATTTCCTCATCCCATTTTATGGGCACCAGGATCTGCCACCCCCTGCAGGAGCAGCTGCCCTGCCACGATGACCACGAGCTTCCTCCAGTGCCTGTGTCTACACAGCTGCATCCAAGAGGGTGACAGGGGGAATTTTCCTCTGGATCCCACCCCTCCAAGGACCTCTGGTACCACCCATGCCCTAAAATCCAGGACTCAGACAAAACACCTCTGCTGAAATCCCCGGTTCTTCCCTAATTCCCTGCACATCTCATCAGCCTCAACAGGCAGCAACAGGTCCCTGAGCTCTGCCAGGCTGGGAGGACCTCGAGGGGTGGGTGGCCTACCAGGACTGGTGTGTAGCTCTCATTAGGGATTTGGGATTCCAGCAGGAGCCTGCCCACACCTTTCCCATTCGGGTTTTGGAACGATTCCAGCTCATTACATGGAATCAGTGAATAATGGAGGTTGGAAGGACCCTCAGGTCACCTGGTCCTCCTGCAGCCCCTCCCAAAACAGAGGGTAGAGAAGAGGGGGAGACTTTAGAGACCAAGAAAGGGGGTCAGTGGGGTCCCCCAGTTCCTCCAGGTAGCTCTCCTGACAGCCTTTCCTGTACTAAGGAGTCTCAGCACAGGAATCCTGGATGAGTTTCCAGTCCCCAGGGGCTGTAACTGTGATTCAGCATTACAGAGGGCTGCCACCTTTGGAGAAGCAGGGACTTCTCCCAGCTGAGGGGATTGTTAACCTTGGAATGTGACACAGTCACCTCCAAAATTACCTGTAAACCTGCTGATTAAATAACAGCATTGTCCTCCAAAGGGCTGCACAAAGGAAGTTACAAGCACACATTAAAAATGAAGTGGGAAATGTTAAGTGTGAGACTTTCACTTACATGTTCTTGATTCCTTTTCTTTTTGTCACAAGCATACATCTATGAGGTTGATCTTTCTCTTTTTCTTACCTTTGTTTCCTTACTAATAGGTGTTTTAGAAGTTTCACATCACAAATATATGAGAAAAGACAAGTCTCGAGCTCCACGAAGAGCCTCCTTATAGGAATGGTGCAATTTTACACACACTGATAAGGAAATTGTCTGTGTTTGGAGCCATCATTGCCTTCAGACAGACCAAACTCACCCAAGCTGAGGAAGGTGAAAAGTTTCATCAGGCTGCAACCTTTGTGAGGGCTCTCACAGAGCTTTACATGAGCAGAGGCAGTGCTGGAGTCCTGGGCACTTTAAGTTCAGAGCCTTTGTTTTCAGTTTAGCTTTTGCCACACTGTCTTTTAAATTCCCCATGACTGTAAAGCAAACCCTGAGAAATTATTAAAGCTTTCCAAGTTTAGACCATTTGACCCCAGAGGTGCAATAATAGACGTTTTCAAATCAGTTCCCAAAGCCTCAGTCTGTTGTTGTTGCTGTTTTAAGGAAGTTATTTGAACCAATAATTTTAAGCTCTATATTTTAAATTGTTTCACCCTCAGAAGCCTGATGTCATCTGGCAACAGAGGTGCATGGGATGGGTCTGAAGGCAGACTTGAGGTGAAAAACAGTCACTTGGTTTTTTTCCAGTCTTATCCCTGCAGCACAGCCATGAGCCAGGTAAAAGAAAAGCTGTAGCTGGTTCCATTTCTTTGCCAGGCAAATAGCCCCAAATCATCTTTACTCCAATGCCTCTTCATGCACAGTCATTTCACAATGTTCTCCCTGGTGCATTAGACTGGAAGTTGATGGCCTGCCTGGCAGGGACAGGCCAGTCTGCAAGGTCAGGAGGCTCTGCTAAAAAAGAAACTTACTGGGGGTTCTCAAATTTTTACCATTTTGAGCCCAAGGTGTCCTGACCTCACAGAAAAGGAACAGGGGAAGTGAAAACTGTGGAACCTGGCTGTGTTTCAAGGAGGTAAGGGAAAAAAGGCTTTTCCTACCAGGGCAGATGTTGGTCACTTGGCACCTTGAGACCCCACAGAAATGGTCCTGACTGGCATTAACTGTTCAGGTTCCCTGATAATCCAGGTGGGGGGATAACCAACCAGCTGCATGGACTCACCACTTCCCTGCTGAAACAGTGACACTCTGCCTGGGCAAGTTCCTCTGAATTCCTGATGTTCCTCTTCTGCTCATCTTCCTCCAGAGGAACCAGCAAGGGCCAGGACACAGCTTGAGTCTGTTCCTTCTGCCCCAGACCAGGAGGGCTGGCAGGGCCCTGGGGATCCCTCTCCTAGGACAAAGGAAACACAAAATCACTTCCAGCTTCTCCAATTCTTCTCAAAATAGTATGGCAGCTTAGTCTGTGCTGTTACCCTGTGAAAGGGATCTGGAGAAACAAAGGGAATCAGGCAAACACCCATGTTCACACTGGGGCTGTTCCCTTCACCAGGATGCATGTGGGAAAGATGCTATTTTAAGCCCCAGGTGAATTTTAAGGGGATCTTGGCCAGGCTGTGCTGAGCCAGAGGGGAATCCCATGGACCAACCTCATGACAAGGATATAACCCCCTTTTTCACCCTCCCCAGCAACTAAAATCAAAGTTGAAAGAAAGAATCTTGTGGCAGAAAAATTGCCAACAATGAAAGGACTTCGGGAACAGAAGGATGAGGTGAATTTGACATAAAGAAAGGCAGAACTTCACCCAGAGCATTCCTGTGGCAAGTGCACAGTGATCCTACCAGTCCCTGGTGTCACCAGAGAACCATTTCAGCTGGCACTGGGGCTCAGGTGGTGTGTCCACTGCAGGATAGTCCTCTGAGGTCACCCACAGCACTGGCAGTCACTCCTCCTCTGCTCAGTTTGAGAGCAACTTCATGGACAGTCACCCCACAGCCCCTACAAAGGGTTATGAGGTACATTTACAGCAGCACTGTTGGGATTGGCAACACTGCCATGCTCCCAAAAGATGACTGAAACATTCTGCCTGGTCAGTGCAGCTACTGGTTTAGCTGGAGTGGAAAAGCCAGTATTTTCCTGGAGGGATTTGGGCTTTCCCCAGGACATGGAAGGGAGGATGAAAGCATTTCTCCTGCCCTTTCCCTGCAGAATTGAGGGCCAGCCAGGATCAGCCTCTGCTATTCAGTGAAATAGTCATAAAAGTGTGTGTATGAGAGATATATGAGGATGTGGGGGAGGGTTGGGGCTCTACAGTGCTTGTAACATCCTTCCACATCCTTCACATGAAGATATTCACTCCATAAATATCCTGGGTTATATATCCAGGCTGGAGTTCATGCTGAGTTTAACAGGTTGTGCTGGGGGAGCAGTGTGTGTGTCTGGATGTGTGTGTGATTCTTCTCCCTTCCTGGAGGGAAGCTGGAGGGTTCTCTGGAGTATGGGAGCTCTGCATTTCTCCTGGGGCGAAATCACCACCTCAAAACAGAGCTGGTGTGCTTTAAGGAGGGAAGGAAAGCAAAACCCTCAAGGAATCTGGAGCTTCTTGGTGAGGGCTACAGGAACCTGAGCTCTGGAGAGAGCTACAAACCATTGCCCAGAGGCAGGGCCTGGGAGGACCACACCAGTTCACACCAGTTTACACCAGCTGAGCATCTGACCTCGATTCTCTTTGGGCTCTTGGTGCTCAGGCTGATTCTGGAAACGATTTTTAGCATTTGTCTGCACTGCAGACCCCAAACTATCTCCAGCTCAGCATTGGATCTCAATTTCTTCTGGCAGTTGGGGTTGTTTTGATCAAGGTCCTAGCCTGCCTGAGGACTCAGAGCCAGCAGAGAAGCTGCTGTCAGCATTCCCAAAGCTCAGCTCTCTCCTGTTAGAGCATCCTGCTCCTCCACATTCCTGCTGGATACACCTGGAGCTGCTGTGACCGTGGCAGGATGAATCCCAGTTACCCCACAGCAGGAACTGTCCCTTTGCCACCCCCCGTGGTGGCATCAATCAACACCCTCCCTCCAAGGGCTCCTTCTTTGTTTACAAACTAAAGAAACCCGAATTCTTGCATTACTGAGAATTTCCGCTCAGCTGTGGGTCACATTTTAAGATCCCTCTGTTTTTCTTTCCAAATAACAAATGTTTGTTTTGCTGGAGAAACAGGGAGTGATCCTGTTCCACACGAATGGGTGTAAATGGGGAGTAATTCCACCCAGTCCAAAAGGCCAGGAGCAGGGAAAACCCAGCATGAACAG